CAAGAGATTTACTGAGTTCTGAACTACATGCATTCTGTGAGTCCTATCCTATCTCTCAAAGACTCAACAGTATTTTATACACTCATCATGTGAAGTGTGTAAAGTTAGGGATAAAAATTTACTTAAAGAAAAAATTCCATCCTGAATTTAAATGGAATATTAAGTATTCAAAAAAAATGTCTCAACATACAGCATTCAAACACCTTAATATTATATTGGTGGGCTATTATTTTTACCAATGTCTTACGCTAGAGGAAAAGTATCTGTTGCCTTCATACTGTAATTCACCTTTTCAGGTGCATGTTTTATCTCTTCACCTAGATTTTAATAGCCTCGAAAATATATTCTTACATATTATTTTGTATGTACAATCTTAAGCTTTATTCTAAAGCCCATATACTGAGATTATTGCAGTTCTTCCTAGCAAGAGATTTACTGAGTTCTGAACTACATGCATTCTGTGAGTCCTATCCTGTGTCTCAAAGACTCAACAGTATTTTATACATTCATCATGTGAAGTGTGTAAAGTTAGGGATAAAAATTTACTTAGAGAAAAAATTCCATCCTGAATTTAAATGGAATATTAAGTATTCAAAAAAAATGTCTCAACATACAGCATTCAAACACCTTAATATTATATTGGTGGGCTATTATTTTTACCAATGGGAAATCCAAAATACAGAAATCAAATACTACCCAGGACTTTGCTAACTCTTATTTATAAAAATTTGATATGTTTATGTGTCTAATATATTTGTTGTAAAAATTACAAATTTTTTATATTCTTGACTTCATATTGTGTCCTAGATATTGCACTGCAAGATACAGTAATCCTACATTAAAAAGATACAAACTATAGTTAAGAAAGTACCAAAAATTAGTCCAAGATCTAACTTCCTAACCATCAAGTTATACTGCCTCTCAATAGCAGAGCTGGACCAAATAATTTGAAATAAAATTAGTCAGAAATCATTTAAAACAAGAAATTAAGATATACATAACTGTATTTTAATGTATTAGAAGTCTATAGTTTAAACATAATAAATAATTCTGAGTTTTTAAATTAATGTTGCTAATATTACTACTTATATTGAGCATCCATTATTTTGACTTCCTAGCATCCATGGCTGCCTTCTTCTACCAACATGCCCCATATTTTGAGAGTGGACCTGCTTTTCCCCTCTTATCTCCATCCTCTCCTCCAGGATTTGTCAAGTAACTTGGTTCTAGCCAATCAAATCATCAAATATTCTTGGGTATAGTGATTGCTTTAAGATAGTCATGTCAAATAAGCTAAGCTGGTCAAAGCTAATGACACTCATATATAGGACACTTATTGTTTTGATTAAAGGGAATGAGAAACCATTTATTACCTCTGGATTTGATGAAAAAATAAAAATTCATCCCAGAACCTGCTGAAGGCAGTAATGTCACTAGAGGAACCTCTCTGAAAGTAGAAACTACAAATTGGAAAGCAGAGAAAAGAGATGCAGATGGAGAAAATAACTCTCCATGATATTGTCTGAGTACCAGATTTAACCATACTTCAGGAAATTTCTACCTCTATACTTTCAATTACATGAGGCAATTACAATCACCACCCTTGATTTTTCTGAAATAATTTACATTGAGGTTTCTCTCATTGGTAAACAAGAGTTTTAAATTAATCACTATGCCTGAATTATACTGTGTTCCTGTCATACAGTCATGTATAAGTAAAGTATTAGTCACTCAGTTATGTTTGACTCTATGACGTCATGGACTGTGGCCCACCAGGCTCCTCTGTCCATGGAATTTTCCAGGCAAGAACACTGGAGTTGGTAGCCATTATTTTCTCCATGGAATCTTCCCGGCCACACAGCCATACCTATAATTTAATTCTCAGAACAGCAGTGTGAGGTATGGAGGTCATACGTAATCTCCGTTTGATAGATGACCACTATTTGAATGGCTTCATTAAGATCACACTGAACATCCATGTTAGAAGAGTAGGCATATGAGAAGTATATGCCTTTCTGGTCAGCTCAAATGGTAAGAAAAATATAAACAAACATTAATGAAGTAATCAATAACTAATTGAATCTGAATGTGAGGGAAAAACACATTGAGATTTTTTAAAAGAAAATAATAATAATGGTTGCTTTACACAAATATAGACATCAGAAGGAAAAAGTTTGAGGGGGCTAGTGCTAAGTCGCTTCAGTCATATCCAATTCTTTGCAACGCTATGGACTGCAGCCTGTCAGGCTTCTCTGTCCATGGGATTTTTCCAGGCAAGAATATTGGAGTGGGTTGCCATTTCCCTCTTCAGGGGATCTTCCCAACCCAGGGATTGAACCTTCCTTTCTTACATCTCCTGCAGTGGCAGGTGAGTTCTTTACCACTAGCGCCACCTGGGAAGCATTTGAGGGGGATAGAGGAGTCATTAATTTGGTTCAAACAAACTTAGTATAAGATTCTGGTAGGACACCTAGTTAGACAAGCCCAGTCAAGAACTTGATACATTAGATTGCATTAGGAAGAGTCTTCAGGAGAAAAGTATGTAACTGTAAATCATCAGGTCAATAATGCTGATAGTTAGAAGCTATGAAAGGGGAAACATAACTAACACTTCTGTGGATTTTTAGATTTCAGATCCTTTAACAATATCACTTCACATAACACTCAAAATGACCCTGTAAAGATGGTGATATCATGCCAATAACAGATATAGAAAAAAAGACAAAGAGTGTAAGGTAAAATGTCTCAAATTTCCACCTAATATGTAGAAAAAGTTTTTAACTAATATCTCTTTGACTCAGAGAAACAAAAACAAAACCTTTAAAAAGAAATAAATAATCCAGTTAAGAGAGAGTGTTTAAAAAAGAAAGTAGATTCAGAGAACACAGAGGAGTATCAGAGTGAATGTAGGGTAACAGAAATAGCCAGTTAACAAGTACTGTCTACTTCAATATAGACCTCAGAATAAAAAAGAATGAATGAAGTAGCTAAGAATGGAAAATATATTTTATGTAAGCAAATAATATGATTCACCAGTTTTAAATAGAATCACTGAAAGATAATTAAGGATTTAAAATCCAATTTACAAATATATAAACTCATACATACATTATAAAAAATGCATTTGAGTTTTCTAATATAATTCAATTGGCATATGTGAGATGTAACTTTCTATTAGACCAAAAAAAAAGGCTTTTCAAACCTAAAAATTAGACTATATTAACAGTAGTTCACTTTTAGATTGTATTAAAACTGAATTTTAATCATTCTTTCTGAATTGGTTAGTATTTCCTTCCTCTACAATGAGAATGTTAACACTATTTTCATGCCATCAAATATAAACATTGCTCCACTTGAATTCAACATTACTGCATATAACATTAAGAGATTTTCTAATTGATTTCACAGAGTATCAGACACTATCATATTCCAGGAAACTTGGTCTTCAGGAACATATCCAGTAGAAAGACATCAAGAAACAAACAAGTATGATAAAGTTAATCTAATAGATCAAAGTGAAAGAGGAGAGTGAAAAAGTTGGCTTAAAGCTCTTCAGATAACTAAGATCATGGCATCCGGTCCCATCACTTCATGGTAAAATAGATGGGGAAACAGTGGAAACAGTGACTGACTTTAGTTTTTTGGACTCCAAAATCACTGCAGATGGTGATTGCAGCCATGAAATTAAAAGGCGCTTACTCCTTGGAAGGAAAGTTATGACCAACCGAGACAGAATATTAAAAAGCAGAGACACTACTTTACCAATAAAGGTCCGTCTAGTCAAGGCTATGGTTTTTCCAGTAGTCATGTATGGATGTGAGAGTTGGACTATAAAGAAAACTGAGTGCTGAAGAATTGATGCTTTTGAATTGTGGTGTTGGAGAAGACTCTTGAGAGTCCCTTTGGACTGCAAGGAGATCCAACCGGTCCATCCTAAAGGAGATCAGTCCTGAGTGTTCATTGGAAGGACTGATGTTGAAGCTGAAACTCCAATACTTTGGCCATCTGATGCGAAAAGCTGACTCATTTGAGAAGACCCTGATGCTGGGAAAGGTTGAGGGCAGGAGAAGAACGGGACGACAGAGGATGAGATGGTTGGATGACATCACCAACTCAATGGACACAGGTTTGGGTAGACTCCATCAGTTTGTGATGGACAGGGAGGCTGGCATGCTGCGATTCATGGCGTCACAAAGAGTCAGACACAACTGAACGGCTGAACTGAACTGAACAGAAGAAAACACCAGGTACTTCAGGGTAACTCCTGTAGCCAGCAAGCCTTGGCAACACCATACATCCCTTAGTCTCCAACCTAAGACTTTAAAGCAAGCATGGCAACACTTTCACTAGAAAATCAGTTGGTTTTCCTTTTAATTTACTTAATACATAACTAGAAATAAACCTAGTTTATTAGATACTTCAACTTCATGTATCTTATATTTGCTACTATGAATTTAATTATTTTGGCCATTATAAGAAAAAATATTATTTATTCAATAAAAGATCAAATTTAAGTGAAGCTTGATCTGTTTAAATGGAAAAATAGGCAAACTTTAACCAGTGTTAAGTTAAAAATAAATTACTTATAAAGTACAAACCTGTTTAAGCCCAAAAAATTTATATTTAAAAATTTTCATATTTTGCATGATTGAAGCCTACAACTATAAAATAAGGGTTCCAAGAACAGTACATACATAATTATAGTATTAAGAAAATAAAGGGCTTCAGTCTACTTATTCACATCACCGAATAAGGTATCAAAATGAAACCTGAATGGTATATAGTTCAAACACACAAACTCAGAGACAGAAGTTATTCATTGAGGCATTACAGAAAAAATTGTCTTTTTTTTAAGTATGCACAATTTATTTCTGGTCTCTCAATATACTAGTATTAACATATTCATTATAAATCACAATTTCTGAGTGATCTGACTTTGATCAGTTATCTAATTATCTAATAACGTTTACAAAACTTGGAAAACCAAATGAACAACTTACTGTTTTGAAGGTTCACGAAACTTGAGTTCTTCTCTTTTCTTCATCTCTATGGTGGGTTCCATAGGAGTGAGAACTACAGCAGCACATGAAACCACAGAATGGTATGAATCCTCCCGGCAAACTGTTTTATTAGAAATAATAATTATAAATGTCATAACTATTTCTTAACTATTCTCTTTTTAAATTTCAGACAAATGAGATAATTCAACTAAAATATTATCATTAAATTATCTTTAATTATCATTTTCTAGTCTGTCTTTCCACTGACCTTAGTACTTTTTCTTTTCTTTCTTTAAGCCACACAGTGGAAAATGTGTTGCCTACACTTTATAATTCCTCCACTTAAGCTTTGCATTGAAGAATAAGAAGTACACAAATTAAACACAGTTAATCTCCACAAGTGAGTGAGTGAGTGAAAGTCTCTCGGTCATGTCCGACTCTTAGTGACCCCATAGACTATACAATCCATGAAATTCCCCAGGCCAGAATACTGGAGTGGGTAGCCATTTCCTTCTCCAGGGGATCTCCCCAACCCAGGAATCAAACCCAGGTCTCCCACATTGCAGGCGGATTCTTTACCAGCTGAGCCACAAGGGAAGCCCAATCTCCACAAATCACTACGCAAATAATAGATGCTAATCATGACCAGTGAGACACACACTGCTTCTTTCCAAGCCTGTCATGGATATGTAGGCCGATACTCAGTTTAAGCACAGAGGTCTAAGTATACAGGCGCATTGGTTCCTTCTCTCCCAGTTATAAACCCATGTGACATTTTATAAAAAATGGATAATCTAAGGAAGTCATTTGTCAATAGAAATGAAAGTGCAGCAAAGAAATAAAAACTGATAGTAGTGGAAATGATATTTGAGTTGATTATAAATGAATGACCAATAATCACTGATCTAAGTATTCATTTCAAGAACCATGACTGGGACAATGATGTAGAAAGAAGCAAATACTAAAGATGACAGCACACATTAGTGAAAGAGAGGACAAAAATACAACAGAAGCATGCAAGTCAGCCAAATAGTTGTAGGGCTGTGATCTCAAAGAAAAGAGATGTAAGAAATGATCCCAATGTTCTTCAATTTTACCCTAAAAGTATCTGATGAATTATTAATCTGCTTAGCACTAGAGTCTAAGATATAAAATAGATAACCACTAAAAGCAGAGCTGAATCTGAAGCACTCTTGTGGCACTCAAGAGGCAAATATTTCTGCCTAGTATGTGTCAAAGAGCCCAGGTTTCCTCAATCTCTCCAATACCATCAAACTAATTTTTTAACTTAATTTTCTCTACTTATTCTTGGCATGAGCTTTGAGTCTGAAACAAATAAATTCATCACAGCTGGGAGAATAAAACTATATTATACTTTAAATTTTCACTGTTGCCTTAAACACTGCTAGTGATGAAACAGACTAAGGATGAAAATTACTGATTCATTCCTCTGAGATAACATTCACTTATTCAGCAAATACTTAGTAAAATAACTGGTATATTCCAAGAAATATGCTTAATGGTAGTATTCTCCTGTGGGCAAGAAAGAAATGTTCTTCTTCCAAGTTTTAAAAAAGTCTTAATTTCTTCTAGAGGTATCTCTCAAGTATTAGGGCAATAAACTTCTGACCAGATGAAAACATTTACCTATATCTCTAGGAGGGAATACCAAAAAATGGGAATACCAGACCACCTGACCTGCCTTTGAGAAATCTGATGCAGGTCAAGAAGCAAGATTTAGAACTGGATATGAAATAACAGACCGGTTCCAAATCGAGAAAGCAGTATGTAAAGGCTGTATATTGTCACCCAGCTTATTTAACTTACAAGCAGAGTATATCATGAGAAATGCTGGAATGGATGAAGCACAAGTTGGAATCAAGATTGCTGAGAGAAATATCAATAACCTCAGATATGCAGATACCTCAGACACCACCCTTATGGCAGAAAGTGAAGAGAAGCTAAAGAGCCTCTTGATGGAAGTGAAAGAGGAGAGTGAAAAGGTTGGCTTGAAACTCAACATTCAGAAAACTAAGATCAAGGCATCCGGCCCCATCACTTCATGGCAAACAGATGGGGTAACAGTGGAAACACTGACAGACTTTATTTTGGGGGTCTCCAAAATCTCTGCAGATGATGGCTGCAGCCATGAAATTAAAAGATGATTGCTCCTTGGAAGAAGTTATGACCAATCTAGACAGCTTATTACAAAGCAGAGACATTACTTTACCAACAAAGGTCCATCTAGTCAAAGCTATGGTTTTTTCAGTAGTCATGTATGGATGTGAGACTTGGACTATAAGGAAAGCTGAGCACCAAAGAACTGATGCTTTGAACTGTGGTGTTGGAGAAGACTCTTGAGAGTCCTTTGACTAAAAGGAGATCCAACCAGCCCATCCTAAAGGAAATCTGTCCTTAATATACATTGGAAGGACTGACGCTGAAGCTGAAGCTCCAATACTTTGGCCATCTGACTCATTTGAAAAGACCCTGATGCTGGGAAAGATTGAAAGTGGGCGGAGAATGGGATGACAGAGGATGAGATGCTTGGATGGCATCACCAACTCAATGGACACAAGTTTGAATAAGCTCCAGGAGTTGGTGATGGACAAGGATTCCAACTTTGTCAGCTGTTTCATTTGCCATTATTTTCTCCCATTCTGAAGGCTATCTTTTCACCTTGCTTATAGTTTCCTTCATTGTGCAAAAGCTTTTAAGTTTAATTAGGTCCCATTTGTTTATTTTTGCTTTTATTTCCATTACTCTGGGAGGTGGGTCATAGGGGATCCTGCTGTGATTTATGTNAAAAAAAAAAAAAGAATGGCAATGGAAATGAAAGAAGTCTATATATTGACACGATATTTACTTAAACTCCCAGATAAAATACCTTACAGATTTCTAATTAAGCAGAGAGAAATTTAAATATTTCTGATACAAATAGTGCATTAATGCTAGACTCTGAAAGGAGTTTACACTACAAGATCAATGAAAGTAAAATGAGAATAATAACTGTTAGCCAATACAAGTCTCTACCTTACCACTTTGCTAATTAGGCAATAAGCACACAGTTTTAAACATCCTAGAGATATAAGAAGAAAACAACACACAATCTTTATTGAATAGTTGTTCATACTTGTTCATACTTTTTCATATTTGTAAGATTAAGTAGACAAATTTTTACAAAAAGTATTAGAGTAAGATAATTTAATTATGCTAATTATTTTGAACTTTATGAAACAAGAAGGCACACTTTTCTTATAATTAAGAAAAATTGCTTATACACTACACCATTTAAAATTAGTATAGGAGTTAAAATTTGGGGTCTTCGAGAGCCTGTGATTTCATTTTCCTCTTTATAGTGTTTAGTATTTTCCAAATTTCCTATAGTGATCTTTTCTTACTTTTATAAACAGTAACAATAAAACATATGCTAAAATATAGTCCTGAGAACAGAGTGGATGAACACATGTGAAATACTGATATTGGCCTCAAGTCAGTACAGCTTCTTGAAATTCCTTCAGGAAAACTGCTTTTCTAATTTAACCAGACTGAATTCAATCTCATTTTCTGAAGGTTTCCTCCTTCTTCCTTTCTCTTCCCTACAAAAGTCACATTTTCAGAAGGCATTGTGACTAGTCTAGTTGATTATTCTAAAATAAATAAAGAGATAATACTAATTTCATAGATTTCCCTCAAATTCATCTATTTCCATACTTCCAGGGGCTTTTGATTTTAATCTAAGTGACTGAATTATAGTGGCACGTTTAGGGACTTTCAAAGTTGTACAAACCCAAGCTTGAGGCAAGGATGATTTCTATACTTTCCAAATCACATCAAGTATAATGGTTCATCATTCAGATTTAACTCTTATGATGGGAAAAACTGGCTTAAAGAGAGCAGAGAATGAAAACAAACAGGAATTCCCAAATTTTAATTATTCACAATATTTAATTGTCCTTATAAAGCTAGCTCTCAAATCTATGAAATTTTGTTAATTTTTAAATTTTAAAAAGGCAATTTTATGGAAAAGCAGGTAATTATTTAATAATATAACTTTAAAGGCATGAGTTAATGTCAAGGCACTGCATATTCAAGTAGGTTTCCAGCTGCCATTAACTGAAAAAAAACAATACATTTTTCACTATTGCTTCCAACCAAATTACGTGAATAATTATTTGAGGCACTAACTTACAAATTTATGTGCTAAATTTGCTCCTCTGTGAAAAGAATTGTTGTTGTAAACGTATTGCATGAAGTGCAGACAATACCATCATCATAGGCTTCTGTTACTAGGAATGGCTAGTTACTAGAGGAAGGCTGACTGAAAAATTAAAGTTCCTATTTCTTTCTGGATAGGTAAAGCCTTTTCCCCAAGATTGGGGTCACCAACCAGGGCATTCTGAGAAGGTCACATGTAGAACTGCTGGAACTATATCCAGAGGAGGTAAGTTATCAGCAAACATCAGTTACTATGAAAAGAATGATTCAGACATGAGAAAATGACCATTGATTATGAGATTATACAAACAGAGTTTAAAGATGAATGAAAATGCTTAAGCATCATAGAGTTATTTATCCTAAAATTTTGTTATATGCACTAACCTCATTTATTTCTAGGTAGTTAAAATATATGAACACCAAAAATGATTAAACCTACTGGACTCCTAAATCCAAAATCAGTATAACTTGGGACAGAACAGAAATCATTTCTAGGTTTAAGATTGAACAGTCTGATTTCACCATGTAACCTTTTATCACACCTATTTATCACATGAAATGATTCTCCATTATTACAAAATGTTTCTTTCACACTCATAATAAACTGAGATGCAAACCCTAAACATTGATATTTTAAGTTGACCTTTCTCTACAGTTTTATACATCAACACTGATTGACTTAATTATTAAACTTCTTTGTTTGGACTTTTAATTTATAAAATCAATTTTAAAGCACTAAAAAAAGCAATAAATTTTAGTAATGTTCACAAAAAAGGCCAAAGATTTATTAGGAGAGGCACCTTTCTTTTTCATACAGGATTAAGACATTCAAATTATGAAGGATATCTAGAGCATGGTTAACTTATAAAAAAGAAAGTGAAGTTGCTCAGTCGTGTCCAACGC